ACGGGTCTAAGAGAGCACTTACTTCTACTAAGAGAAGTACACTGGATCTAAGGACTGCTGTGTGCTGCTTCGTCACAGCTATTCCTGCATTTCACATCCAGCTGAGAGACCAAAAGGACAATCACTTCATTTACTTCCTTGTCATTTAAAGCTTTAATTGGGACCTGCTTGGACATCCCTACCCCCAGCTCACTTCTCTTCCCTCACCCTTCACCATGAACCTTGAGTGAAAGATGTCTAAGGGATTGTCCATTGTTGTGGTTGCACTAGAAATCAGGCTGTTCTTAGCTCTTCTGTTTCTCTTTTCCTCCTGGATGTGGTTTGGAAACCAGTCTGACCCTGTCTTTGCCCTGGTCAGAGTCAGCATTTAATTGAAAAAGGCTAGCTGTAAATTGGGTGCAAGGGAGAAGCTGCTATTCCTGCAGGAGATGGGGTTTGGAAACTGCAGTTACTTTCATGTGGCTCCATAAAGTTTCCGGGGCATCCCTTCTGGCTGCAGGTGTCTCCCTGCTGTCTCAGTTGCATATTGGTAGGGAAGTCTTTCCCATCCAAACAAAAGGAGAAGTTGCTGAAGGAAAACTTTCTGTCTCAGTTCTGAATCTCTCTGCTCCTTTCCTGGAAAGCTGCTTAAGAAGTTTTGTAGTAGCCGGTGCTTTGGTGTGGTGTGAGAAGTTTTTCCTTGGCTTCCAGGCCCAGCAGCCTGTCCTTCATGGTGGGCTCTTGCAATGGAGTGTGTGTCACTTTGGAAAGCCCTGCTTAATCTGTGTGAGCACAACGGGAAGGAAGGGACTGGCTCAGTGAAAGCAAGGAGAAGAGATGCGACTGTTAAACTCTCAGTCTTCTCCTGTTGACTGAAAGGACAGTGTCACCCGGGTTTGAAAGGAACCATATCCTTCCACCTTTGCCTGGCAGGCAGATGCAGTGCAAGGAGTGGAAGGGTCTGTTGCACACTACTGTCTAAGGCAAGGAATTGAGGGAGGCACTCAGGGAAGTTGTAGGAGGAATTTGGAAGTTGTAGGAGGAAAAGCATCTCCATATCACTGGGGAGTGGAGAGTGCTGAGGCAAAGTTCAATTCTTCAGGGCATTTTGCTAGTGACCAAGTTGTCAGATCTTGAATGTATTGGGTCCCAAGCATGTGAAGCCTGGGATGCCGGAACAAGAATTGGTGGGAGACCTGCTGTTGCTGGCTTGGTTCAGCCACATGGGGTTGCGCATTGGTAGGTAGAGACATCCTGGGGTTTGGGTCAGATTTTACGTTCTGCTGGGAGAGGCTGCTATCTTTAGACCTGTGTGGTCTTTAGACAGTGAAATGTGAGGAGTCCTGTCATGAACTAAGACCTTTCCCTCTCCACCAAAGCTTAGTCCTTGGTGCTCTGGTATTCAGGCTCTCAGGAGGATCACTGGCCATGAGCTGTTTGCCACAGTTTAGAATCAGTGAGATCATTCCCTGGAAACTGGTCTCACGTGTTAAAGGGGACAGGTATGGCACACACTTCTGTGTCTTGTAACCCTTCCCTAAGTTTTGAAGCTAGACTGATAGCTACACGACCATCCTCTCCTAGAGAGAGTGCTGCTCTAGTGTACTGCTGGTTCCTGCTGCCTATAGTTGGGTGGTTTCCTCCTTTGGGCACTGAAAGGGGACTGGAGTCCCAGGCCACTGGTAGCTGAAATGAAGCTTGAATTATTTTCTGAAGGATAAGAAATATGTGAAATAGAGAGAGGTTTATTCCCCACCCCCGCCCCCATCTCCAACCCACTTTGCCTTCTAGCACTACTCCCATCCTGACCCCATCTCTGTTCAGATGTCAACAGGATGAGGTCTCTGTTTTACTTGGAATCTCTCTCGTATATAAGAATGTGATTTGGTGGGGCCAGCCTCTGGTTGTATGGTGCTTGCACCTCACAGCTGGAATGGGGCATCCTGTGTCCCATGCGCTTGCCTCTTCCCTCCCGTGGATCTGCTGGTTCTCATGATCTCTTCCGTCCTCTCTTTTCTGCTTTGTTTCTTTGTGAGTTCCTCTGGAAATTTTTTGTTTGTTTCTTGGTGTTTGGAGTCTGATCCTTGTTCTGTGGAAATCAACTTGCACTGTAAACTATTTGCTTACTTACAGAGAGAAAGATAAAGATTATCTGAAACATGCAGTTCGTTGCTTTATTTTTTATCCCCAGAGAGAGGTTTATAATCTTGTTTGTCTTGTGCTGGAGTGATTTGTGCTCTTAGGATTATAATCTTGTTTGTCTTGTGCTGGAGTGATTTGTGCTCTTAGGAGACCGTGTGCTGGCTTCCTTTTCAGTGCATGGATTTATTTTTTTATTGTAATCAGAAATGAAGACTGAACTCTGGAAAATGAGGCTGAACTGTGCATTTTTGGCCATTTCTGTGCTTATGGCATGAGATGCCATCCAAGGTAACTGCCTCAAAGGGTACAGAAAAGGAACTAGATCAAACGGGATCAGAGCTGGGAGAGGTCTGGAAGTCGTTCACGGATGGCAGATGACAAAGGATGGTGGAGCAGATGGCAGATGACAAAGGAGCAGTTGGGCCACTGACCTGTCATGACTGTGGAATTCAGAAGTCGTGGCTACCTTGCTTCTCACTAGGCTTTTAGATTACTGTGCCCAGCCCTGCTGTCAGTCTCGTGAAGGCGCTGAAGGCATTTTAATTTCATGCAAATTGTGTGTTCATGGTTTTACCCTTCCTGGAGGTAGACACAAACCAGTCCTGAGCTTCAGTCATGTAGAACTAGAACCCTCCAAAGTGAAAGGGCTGAAACCTTGGACCCCACATTTCTCTTTGGCCTCAAAGAGTGCTTTCACTGTTGCCTGTTGTGGGATTTCTTACCTTCATCTGCAGTGTTAGAACTGGGTGTTGTTAGGAAAGGACACGGAGGGTTTTCACCACCTAGCTGATCTACAGTGGCTGTGTGTAAGAGTTGGAGCTGGCGGGCTTCATTCCTGTTTGTGCTAATCATGAATTCAGGTAGTCCATCGGCAAGAAATCACAAACCAACTTTGCTTTCACTCCCTATGTGTGTGACAATATTTATATCTCAGTGGGAGACCTCCAAAGTCACCTGCTCAGTGGAGGCTCAGTAACTTAAACTGTTTTATCTATTGCATGACAGATAAAATCCAGGTCATGGGTTTGCCCATGAAGTACATCATTGCTTGTCCCCAGGCTGTCAATAACTAGGAAGAGGGTTTGAGATCCTGTTCATGATTTGAAAGGGCCAGACCTTGGCATGTATCTCCTGTAGATCCCTTGGTACAAACTGTGAAATGAGAATAATAATTAACTTTATTGGAGCCTAATTTATCCAGCTGTTATTTCTCATGACAGATTTCTGTTGACACAGGCCTAAGTAAAAACACTTATGGGCAAAGTTCATGCTGGTGCAGTCATTCTCGCTTTTCGTTTCACAACAAGGTGTTGTCATTGCTTGAATGCTGAATCCCAGAGAAAGTGGGATGTGTGTGGTCAGGAGTTACTACCTCATCACTGTTACTGTCTGAGGGGTTTTGCTTTTCTAGAGGATCACAGAAAAAAACCATAAATGGGCTCTGATCCTAAACTGCTTCTGGGATTGATTTATAGAGGAACAGAAGCAATAACGTAAATGCCTTTTGTACCATGCTGCTTTGGCCTTGGCTAAAGAGTCATGAAAGATTTTGATATACAATCAATCCATTTTTTGCTAACAAGGCCTGCCTTTAAATCTTGTATAACCTCTGAATGCTGAGCGGTGTAAGTCAATGTCAGTTGATTTTGAGTCTGGTCTTTGGTGAATGCAAAGCAAACCCAAAGATTTCACAAGATACACATGAAAATTCAATCTCTCTTTATTTCTATTCATCGGGCTCTGTATTTGGGACCCGTAGTCGCAAGACCCCTCGCTCTCCCATGTGCTTTCAAAGCAAGCACCTCCTATGGAACAAGTACTAATGAGTCTTTGATCAGGCACCGTGCTGTACAGCCATATTCCCTTACGCACAGTGCACCTTGCAAAATGTTTGTGGCTATGCGAAGCAGCAGTGAGGATCTAAGTGTTGGAGGTAGGGGAGGGAGGGCTTCACAGTAAGTTTGGCAGTAACTTTCTAGCTCTGTGGGCCCGTTGCTAGTACACACTGGTGGTAACATCATGCATGAAGTAGCATCAAGTAAAGATCAGCCGTAGTACTTCTCCAGTGCTTCTCACTTGAGGCTCTCTGAGAGCCTGTAAGGAGAAATAGTGTTTATTCTCAGCAAGGCAAGATAATGCTCTAGCTTCTGTTTTCAATAATGGGAGAAGGTGCACTGAACCAGTGCAAGTCTCAAGGCCTGTCCTGTTCCTCAGTACTGAGAGCTGCAAGGGCTTGGCACTTCATCAGGGCTGGGTCCTACAGGACTTGGACAAGTTGATGTGCCAGATGTCAGCACCAGGAACAAACAGAAATAGCCCCCGTTCTGACCAGTAAAGCAGCATAATGATCCTTTTGAGAATTACCCAGGAAAAGTGTGTGTTTGGTTTGTTTCTGAATGACTGTGGGTGTATGTGCTGCTAGTGTGGCGGATGCTCTTCTGTGCTGCAGCATGGTGGGTTGCTGAGCAGTGATGGGGCTGATGGTCTTTGACACTATAGAGTGTAGGTCAGTCTTTGTTGCTTTTGTTGAAGGCTGCTCTTGCATTCTTTTATCTGGAAGATGTCCATAGGAGCTGGTGAAGTCCCACTTGCTGCCATACAGCATCCACTGGCGGACTACTGAAAAAAGTACCACCATGCATCCTTCCTTAGAGCAGTAAGGCAGTTTGTTTATGGGCTTTGAGTCTGTTCTCTATGGAGAAAAATTGAGACTATAAACCGGCCTCCTTTTCTTCTGAAACTCACGGAGATTCAAGAAGTCAAAGTAGAAGCTGGAGAGAAAAAGCTTAAAAGTTGCCATGTGCGTATCGGTTGCTTACTGCATCTTTGTTCAGCATCGTTGTTTCACCCCAGCCTCTGGGGTAGGGAGTCACCTTGGTTCAGGCTGTGACGTAGATCTCCAGGAGTCCCCCGACGGAGTGCATTCGATAGAACACACCCAGGGGGAGGCCAAAGTTCACGATCGCAAACCAGGTGGAGTAGCCATAAAATGACTTTTCCAGTCCATTCTCGAAGGCAGGGTGAGCCCCAAAAGTGGGCATGACCCAGAGCTAAAGAGGTGTAGGGAAAAAAGAGCAGAAGTCAGAGAATGACAAGCTGTCCCCTACCTGCACTCTAATCTCAGCACTGGCTCAAGTGGTTGTAGGAATATTTCAAGAGTATAAGAGGAGTCTCCCTGCCAGGGGAGAGAAGGAAAATCCCTAGTTATGCTGCTGACTCCTTGCTATGAGTCAAATCCTCTTGAATACCTGGAAAACTAATGATTTGCATTCTGCCCCAGCCAGCTTCATCTTTCTACAGAATTTCACTGGCTCCTTGGCCAATTTGTTTTCACTGGATTAAGGCTGCTGTGAAGATCCATGTTTACTGAAGATCCCAGAGCAGTGTACTTTATTGGGTGAGTTTCAACCCTGGAGACTCATGTTTACAAAGACTCACTGCTGGTGCCTCATGTTTCTCCACCTCTCTCCTGAAACACCTTTAATGAGTTTGATAACTTTTTCAGAGGCTAAAATTTTGGCACATAAGTATTTATTAGCTGTCTCCTTCCTGCACCCAGGAAACCTAGCCTTATTTGACTCTTAGGTTAAAATAAAGACCTTATAATTATGGGAGTGGGGTATTAACAGAAGAAACAGTCTTGGCTTGCCTCACCGGTAGGTTGAAACTCGGTGGGCAAAGTTTTCTTGTCTGGAATAGTGTCCCAAGAGGAAGGCAATAAGAGCACATCTGTATCACAGGTCATCATGGCTCAGCCAAGCTGTGATGTGGCAGAGAGAACAATACTTACTATGATGTTACACAAAACCAAGAAGAACGAGATCTCTCTTAATGCTCTTCTCTTCCAATTCAGGTGAGAGTAGCTATGGATATAGGACAGTGAAACTTTCCGGATCTCCTGTCCCAGCTCCAGCATGCTCACTTGTCTCTGGTCATAGGCTTCATGATCCTGCTCTTCTTTAATTTCTTCCTCTTTTCCAGGAGATACCTGTGTGTGCTCCTGTTTGCTGCTTGTTGTGCTCTCCTCTTCACCAGGTAGCTCTGAAGCCACTGCATGCTGCTCAACATGTCCTGTGTGTCTGTCCTCAGTTGCTGCTACAAGGGGCTGCCGGTGAAGCCCATCAATGATGAAGACATTTTGGGTGATGTTCTGAAAGATGAGCAGGACAGAATAGGACAGGATGAGGCTGTTCAACAGGTCCATGGGGTCACTGGCCACAATGGCAACAATGGAGAAGTAGGACATGCCGATTTGGCCGAGGGCTGCCCCCATCAGCAGGATCACATCCAGGCTGCGGGTTGGGTTCTTTAGCGTGTCCAGCTCCCTTTTTTCCAAGGCGTGGATGATTGTCCCAATCACGGCACCCACACTCATCACGGGCAGGAGCACAATGTAGTAGGAATAATACATTATGAAGACCTGGTGGTTTGGGGCCGAGCCGGTGGCCTGGATCTGGTACATCATGAAGACGCAGATACCAATGATTACGGCAGTGGTGCCCATCAGTGGCCCAAAGACCACTCCTTGGAGCTTGAACTTGGGCTTGATGTGAGGGATGTGGTGGTGACTGATGCGTCTCCCCACGTTCTTCCACATGACGTACAGCACGGAGCAGCAGACGAGGCAGTACTCGGTGTTGAAGGGGTAGAGCAGAATGTAGCCCTTCTGGAAGACTTTGCAGACGGTTGTGTTTGGGCATGTGCACGAGGTAGTCTCGTTGCCTGGAGCATGAGAAGAGGAGGGCAACAATTAAGAGGGTGATGGCCTGGATTTCATGGCTATCTTTGGGAGTTTCTTGTGTGCAGGCACAACATCTGTCTCTATGCCTCTCAGAAGCAGTGATCAGTAGGAAGTTAAGTGATTACCGCTCAGTCCTCGAGACTGTGAGGATTCAGAGTAACAGGGTTTAGCAAATGTCTTTTTCCAAATATGTTGTACTCCTTCTGGCCAGCATCACAGGTGCTGGATGAGAGAGACACTTTCCTTCACAGCAAAGCTGCCTCTATCTCTACCATATTAGTGTGTCCCCCCGCCTTTTTTTCCCCCCTCATATCCTTAGAAAGAAAAGCAGAGCAATCACCTGAGGCTTTTCTAGTCTGGCAATCCTTTGCTTGCAGTTGACAGGTAAATGCGAGCAAAACCGCTAATTTATGGTGGGCTTTTCCTTTCCCAGCCCTCAGTTCCAGGCTTTCATATCAGCTCCTCCGCCTCCATGTGAAGATGCCCTCCCCTTGCAGCCCACCTCCTCAAGACAACCTCCAATAACAGGGAAGTCACAGTATTTGGGAGAACTGGTTGTGAGACCTGAATCACTGCGTTCAAGAACTGTCGTGCCCCCAGAGGCCATCTATGTCAGCCCAGCACAAATAGGGATGGGAAAAAGGAGCCTTGCCTGCGAGTCGCTCCTCTACCTCACGCAGCTGGGACTCGATTTCCAAGTGAATGGTGTCGTTGGTCACGGCCAAGAGCCAGAGGAGGAGGTTAGTGGCTATGGTCAGCATCAGCCCACACCTGGGAGAAGAGGAGGACAGTGTGTTGCCTGCGGGGATTGTTCGCGGCCTGGCTGTGGTGCTGGCCTTTTGCTTCTCGCTTGCCCGCGCACGGATGCGTGCACGCGCAGCGCCTTTGTGCCTGTTCTGCCTGTGGGCCTCGGCGACTTCGCGCACCCAAAAAGGGCCGAGTACGTTCCCGTTCGTTCGGCCGTTTGCCAGGCTCGCCGGTGAAACTGGCCTGGGTCTGGGTGCAGCTGGGCGGGGGAAGGCTGAGAGCTCTCCCAGCGACAGCGACGGGGAGGCCGCCCCACCTCATCCCCCCGTCAATGAATTGACCCTTGAGCCACGCAGCGGGGCGGGGGGTGTTCGGGGTCGGGAGGACGCGACACGCTTTGCAGCAGTCGGTGAAAACCGAAGGGAGCTGGGCAGCGGGACGGGGACGGCTCTGGTCAGGTCGCGGCGTGGTTCTTGTGTGGCGCAGAATACAGAGAGTCTGCGCCCGGGCGAAGACAGTTCTAGCAGGAATAAGGGAGATCATAGGACAGAAAGGAAGTTTCCTTAGCGGGGTAGAGGGTAGTTCTTCCCCCGTCTTTGTACCTGGTGAAGTTGTGCTGGA